TGAAAAGGAAACTCTTTTTTTCTCAATTTTCTTAAAATTTTTAGAAAATAAATTTTTCAAAGTTGTAAGAATACAATAAATATACAATAATTTTCCGATCAATTGCTATTTTTGAATAACTTAATTAATTAAGATTATAAGAAAAATCTGTTGATAGTTATTATTTAACAACTATTTTGACAATTAAATATAAATGTAAATGTTGAGTTTTAGTAATATTCTGGAAATTATGATGATTCTAAAATTAATTTTAAGATAAAAATCTCATTTGAAATAAGGTAACAGATGATTTTCCTTTAATGGATAAAGAAATTTATCCTAAGAAAGTTCAGATCTTAAAGTAAAATAGTAATTAAGAAGCTGAAAAATAATAAATTAATAATTAGCATAAAGAAGATTTGTATTAGATTTTAACTTTATCAAATTGTATTGATGAATTTATATGGAATGAGAAAATTGAAATACTCAGAAAAATAAATTAAGATACATGACTTTACTAATATAAGCTATTTAATTGAAAATTACTAAAAACTTAAAAAGAACATATAAATAAAATATTATACAATTCAAAGATTATCTAATTGTAAAAATTCTTAATTCAACTTACAACTTTTAACAACCTATTCATTTAAATTTGGTCAAATTCACTTCACTTGTTAGTATAAGTAAAAGTGGATTTCACCATTTATGCTATGAAAATATCAGTAGTAAGAATACTTCTTTGATTGGAAGTAATTTTATTCAACGGGAATTTGACCATATAGAAATAAGGGGAGTCAATTTACATGGAGCATAACTATTCAATTGTAAATGGAAGAATATTAAAATTCATGAATTGAATAAGTTGGATGGTCATATTGGTGAAATCAACTCAGTCTGTTTCTCTCCTGATGTAAATACTATAGAAACTAGTAGTTATGATTCAGAAAATCTACCCTTCCTCTGGCTAAGAGAGAAAACTAGTTTTTTTTAATAAAACGGGGTACCTCAATTCTATCATTTACTTTTTCTGTGGCAGAACTTTTCTGAAGGTTTGTCGAAAATAAAGATAGAAAATATTTGAGGAATATAAAAATAATGTTAATTAAGTTAATTAAATTTCTAAATTAAATAAAAATAATTCTATCTATTCATGCTTTTAAGTTTTATTTCTTCATTTAAGAATTAAGAAATATATGATGATGAAAATTTTATTGAATGATTGATAAATTACAATTTTATTCTAATGAATATGCTTAATTATAGATATTGATTGATTTCCTATTTTTTTTATTCAATTTTTTTCTATAGAGGTATTATTGAATTAAGGCAATAATTCATTAATTTAGAGAACATTCTATTATTTTAACACTATCAATTATGGATATATATAAAATTACTAATCATTGTTTCCTTTTTACTTATTCTTCTATTCGCTTTAAATTGTTTAATTTAACTGGTTAATTAATTCACAAAAGGAATATTTTTTTAATAGCTAAGAAGTGATAAGGGATATTTTTTCTAGATATCAACTAATTTTGTTAAAATCATCTTGAAGGTAAAAGTGATTATACACAATCTCATTATTATTTATAGATATTCAAAATTATCGTTGATTGTAGCCACTTTGGATGTATGAAGGCTAATCAGTAATTAAGTTCATCAGATGGTATTTTCTACTAATTTATCTTTTCACAGTAATATAATAAAAAATACTTTGGATATCAATTTATATTGAAAAATTCATTTAATATATTGCAACAACTTTAGTTACCTTTTTTCTTATCTTTGTTATTAATAGTAACTTGTCACAAAACCTTTATTTATAACATTAAGACTAATCTCTTTATAAACAGTAAAAAAATCAATAAATATATCATAATACCTTAAATGATTATATAAGCATTTTTTTTAGTTTCCTTTAAGTAATTATTTCATTCTTTATTTTAGTAATTTAATTTAATATCATTTAGTTTTAAGTCTCTATAGATAATTCTCGAAATATTTTTTCAAACATATCAAGAATTATTCCCTACACTAGATGACATATTAAAAAAAAATTAATACATGTACATTTAACTCAACTTTTGAAAAAAGTGTAAATTTCTATCTTTAGAATTGAAAATGAAGAGTAGAACTGATAATCTAATAATTAAAAAATATTAGATATTAATTGTAACTTTATTTCTATTATTTTTGATAAATTATCAAAATCAATTTTTCTCTAAGTCTTCTAAAAAACAAATTCCTTTGGATTTGAAT